TACAGGGCCGCTGCCCCTCCGACCAGAATGTCTATACAGCTTTTTGCATTATCAAAAATCAAAGAAAGTGTGTTCGGAGTGAGCTGTGTGATGTTTAATAGTTCTTCTCTGGTGAAGATAATCCAGGATGGGTCACAGAAGACCGAGAAAATAAAGAAAACCAACAAACGCATGAGAGCGCACGTTACCAAGGCAGCCATATGCATCACCATGTTCAGTGTTCTATGTAGAGAGACAGTCCTTCCAGAAATTACTCCAGTCTACGACAGTCGGAGGTCACTAAAACTAATGTTGAGTCATTGTGTGTAACTTTGCCAAAACAATGTTGGGCTTCGTAGTTTTCTCTGAATCCCTGCCCAGTCGAACCAATGATGGCATGTTTAGCCACATGTCGTCATTCAACTGCTGGCTGTCTAGGTTTAGTTCTGAGAAAAATGATGTGGGCTTCATACACAATTGGAAAACATTTTGGGGAAAACCTGGTCTGGTTAGCAGTGACAGAATTCCTCCAACTTTGGATGGTGCAGCTCTCATATCTAGAAATATGGCAATCCAGAGTTGAGATCAGGAAACAAAGTTACAGTCTTACACTCCTCTCTGCAGTCTCTAAACCTTTGTTACACAATGGTTGTTATTGGGGTTTCTGATTTGTCATGAAGTGGTCATGTTATGATTCAGAGCCTCTTTATTACATATGCAACATCCTAATTTTGCAGTATTTTATGTAATTTAAGTATATGCAGTAGGTATAGGTTAGTAATCATTAGTTTTCCAAGGTTTTATTTTTTGTATTTTTTTTTTTGGACCTCTGAGCATTCAGCCTGTCCAACCTGACTGTTAACAAGCCATGATGAACCATGGATTAGCATCTACTGTATGTTTACACACACACACTGATCAAAATGTTCAATTAATTGTACTCTGTGATGCATACACATCATATGGTGGCATATTATAATGATTAATCAGATTAATTTATCATCTCATGTGATGATGGGGCATGTTAAACCGATCAATTAATCATACCCCATGGTGCTGCAGGCATATTAAACTGAATAATTAATATCATGATATGGCAAAGATATTAACCGTTATGGTCCACAAGCATCATTCAATTCATCTCAAACTGTTACAATATTAATGAATTTTCAATATTTGAAAATTATCTATTTGATTTTTCATGGTACATGTAAGATGTGAAAGACCATATATTTACAGTGGTTGGATAGAAAAAATTTAAGATAGACTGTTGTAACCCTGCCATAAATTATCTTCACACCTAGACTGACAGAAGGGGTATTTTACAATATCTCTATCAAATTTTCATTGTATAATACAAATATTTCAGAATCAGAATTAGCTTTTATGGCCAGGTGTGTTGGACACACAAGGAATTTGACTCTGGTACAGCGGCTCTCAATGCATATGCACATGGCCTTACCTAAGGCAGCAGTGGGCAAGTAACCAATATAAGGATGAGAACAGAAGTAAAGAAGTAATGTGCAATCAAGCAAAGGAATGTGTCTTAGAAAAAAAATAAAGTACTATATACACACAGTCTGGATTCGACGGATCGATATGTACAACTGGAAGCAGCTTGATTCAGTACCAAAATCCAATAGCCTCACAAAAATCTGCAGCCACTGTGATTTAAATATATGGTTTATCTACAGTATATGCTGTGATAGCAGGTTGTGCTCTGATGAGCCTTAAGACTATCACTAATGCAAATAATAATAGAATCACCTTCCATGGCCCAGTGGTTTGTTTAACCCTCATACCATCCTTTAAAATCCATCCAAAAGTGTCCCTCTGGACAAAAAATGTGAATCTATACTCAGTGGCCAAGCATTTTGCTCACAATCTGTTAATAGCAACTTAATGAAAAGCAATAACTAACTATACTCAGCTGACAAAGCTACTCAAAAGTAAGAATGACAACCTTTATTCAAAATCTCATCCAACCATGAGAAAATATTCAATAGTTGATCTGTTCACATTGAAAGCTCACAGAAAAACAGGCTAAAGCTGTAACTCCAGCAGGGAGAAGTTGTAAAATACACATTCACTCTGAACCTCTGCATGCTTGATTGATCTATCAGGCTACTGTTGTTCAATGCCTCAAAACACAATGGATGGAGCTATCAAGTTATGCTGAACAAGTAATTATTAAACCAGTAATGACCAGTGTTTGTTTGTTTGTTGTGTCTTGTTGCTTTTCTTCTTTTCTCTCTCCTCTATCCACTCACCCCAACCAGTCGAGGCAGAAGGCCGCCCACCAAGAGCCGGGGTCTGTCGGAGGTTTCTTCCGTTAAAGGGAGTTTTTCCTCCCCACTGTCACCAAGAGCTTGCTCAAAGGGGATTTGTTGGGTTTTCCCTATGTAATAATAGTGATAGATAGCAGTAAGGTCTAGACCTTACTTTGTAAAGTGTCCTGAGATGACTTTTGTTGTGATTTGGCGCTATACAAATGAAATTTGATTTGATTTGATTTAATGTGTGGAGGCATTCTGGATTTGACACTGTACATGGAAAAACCATTGATAAAGGTGAGGCAACAAAATATGAAGACTCAGTGGTGGCTCAATGGCTTATGACAGGAACATCATAATTTCTAAAGCATATCTATATCTATCATAGACTATGAGTTGGAGTTGCATTTTCATTATATCAGACTAATTCTGTGTTAGTTCTGATTTGCTTGAACTTGGTTTTATGAAGTGGAAGTCCTACCCTAATTTAAAGTAAGGTTACTAAACATCCAAATTCTTGCTATAATGTTGATAAATGAGATGAGAAAAGAGGAACTGATGCGGTGGATGAAGGACAACTGAGACCTACTCAATGCACCTCAGTATCTGAGAGCTGACAGCCCATTGATGAGGCCACGGAGCGCATCTGTGACCACTACGGACCACAGAAGGGTGCAGCTGCACCTCTGGTGCAAAAGGAGTGCATGCAGCAAGTCCTTCCTGGTGAAGTGTTTCAGGATCAAAAAATCCCACTTTCAGAGCAACTTGACAGACAGTGAGAAAGTCTAGCATGACCTCTGATCGATCCAGATCAGACTGTGGTGTGTGGTAGACCTTATGTGGATGTTATCATGTAATTTTTGTCCAAGCATTGTAGGCATAATGTATGGGGTTAAAAGCAAAATATTGAATTGGCCCTAGCTCACAATGGTGCAGAATCCCTTAAAAAAGTCCTGTATATGGATAATGATCTAGATCAGCAACAAAATCTAATGGATTGTTCCATTGGCAATATCTTAACTGTCCAAAACATTTCATCAAAATCCAATCATTATTTTTGAGTCATGCTTTGAAAAATCTAATAAATGCTAGTAAAATTGTAACCTCCTTGGTAGAGATAATAACATGTACAACTTTTTAGTTTTTCTGGATTTTACCTCACATAAATTACATATTAAACATGAGTTAGAGGTGCTGCAAGTAAGTGAGCACTGAGGTACAGAACACATGGATGAAAATTACCTTCACCTTATATTTCTTTGGGATTAAACTGTAAATCAGTCTAAACCTCACTTTGTCTTGCAGGTCTCAGGGAAAATGTGTTGAGGGATATTTGATAAAAAAAAAAACCCTAGAGATAGAATGCAAGCTTTTAAGGGAGTGGTAGCACCGCTGTATACACTATCGATATGAATTCTTAGAGGATGACAGGCAGGGGAATTATTTTTTTACCCCTTTAAAATAACTTTCCATAACTTAACAACTCCACATGTACTATATGTATGCATGCATTATTATCAAAATGTATAATACTGTAGTTCTCCTTCTACAATGGCCTTAGGTGTCATTTAATCAAAATAACCAAAGAGGAATCACTAATTCTAATCAGAGCCATCAGCATTGCTGATGTCACCTCCCACCCCACGCAGCCACCACCCTCTCACTTCAGACTCCCGCCTTCAGGAAGAAGGTATTGGAGTCTTCAGGCCCACTCCACCAGACTTACAAACAGCTTCATCCACCAGGCTGTGAGGATGCTGAACGCTGTCCATTACCTCCCCCCCTCTGCCTCCTGCCCCTGGAACATAACCCACCACAGAATATAAAAAGACTGCCCCTCTGCTGTTTGCACAAACCCATTACATTCCCACTTTTATTATATTACATTCAAATCTGAATCTGACTGTTTTTACTGTCATATCTGCTGCTGTTGGTCATTTGCACTGCTGTCCATGTACATCTCATATACTATTATGCACCTCATCACAGACGGCCCTGGTGATGCTGACCATCTAACAATCTTCTTATTATTTGCAATACTGTCACTGATTGCACATGGTTTTGAGTCATAGCCTATTAGGTTGTCCCTTTACTTTTATCCTAATCACTCTAATTTAGTTTTCTTATTTTATTTTATTCTATTTTTGTTCTACTTGTATTCCATTTTTTGCAATTCAGTGTAACTATAGTATGTCAGTGAAGTGTATAAATGACACTGACGACTGCCATCTGTGCTAACAGTGATGAAAGTTTATCCTGTGAAAGTTAACTCATTAACAGAACCAACATATTGAACACACATTCAACAAACCCATTGTTTGCCTGTTCTTATGACATTACACAGTATCAATATGAATTCTAAGAGGAAGACAGGCAGGGGATTATACAGTGATTATTAAATACAGTGAGTTTCTCTGACTACCTTCCAACACCCCTAATGTACCTAAAGACCTGGTTGGTGTAGAAACTGGCCTGCTCAAACTGTGGATGCATCAGAAATACAGCATGTATGATGCGATCCTCTTTATCTGCCATGACTGTTTTCGCAGTACAGTCAGTGAGCTATCTGCTTATTGGTTTTCACAGAATTTGGATATAATTTAAAATAAACTTATCATTAAAGATATATCTCAAGTGCTAAAATTTGGCACTGCCTTGAAATTCTTCAGTTTTTCTGAAAACCTCCATAATATGAACTTGACAGAAAAACCAGTAGCTAGATGGATTTGTTTTGTTTCACTGACTCACCAAGAAGAGCTTCAAATAGGTTGCTTTTGAAAATTCCGATCACTCTCTGAATGGCAGTTTTTAGCTGCTGCTCCTCCGGCTTCTTCAGTTTAGTGCAGTACTCCTCCAAAAGCCCCAGGGCTCGAGCTGTGTCTGCAAAGGAGGGAGCAAAAGGACAGGCTTTGGGGTTTCCTGGCTAGTTTTCTTCATGTAATTATACATTTTTCATATATCAATCTGACAACATTTAGTTTGACATGACAATTCTGTATATGATGGTAGGTAGGTAGGTACTTTATTGATCCCACAGTGGAGAAATTTCTGTGTTACAGCAGCAATAGAGAACAACCAACATAACACCATAAGAACAGACACCACCATAAGAACAGACGCATAAGAACAGAACTTCATAGAAACACGGGAAAGAACACAACGAGGACACAGCTGCTGTAACTTGCTGCCACTCTGCGCAGCGCATGCATACATGAGTATGTAGTAACAAAGAACACTTAGTCTTAAAATAAAGAGTTACATAAAGGCAACAAAGCATTAGGACCAATACACACAAGGATTATAAAAGTAGCGTCATCAGAACGTTACATTTTACACAGCACAAATAAGCAAATCAAAGGCGCCTAAAAACAGGGCAAAGCAGCACTGGAGAGAACCAGGAACAGCAGTACTAAACAACCAGGAAATCAAGAACAATCGAATATTACTCACACAATTGATCCCACAATGGGGGAGAGAAACCTGTGTTTCAGCCATAAGGATCTCTGAGCAACTACTCAAAAATACATAAAGCAGGGCAATGTACAGTATTTGAGAGAGATCAGGAACAAGATATTACACATGAGCCTATTTACAATGCATTTCATCCCCAGGAGCTGAAACATTGCACCACAGTAGATTAATGCATAGTCCCTCATAATTTCACCTATCTTATCACTGCAGTGATATGTTGTACAGTCTGATTGCGGTGGGGAGAAATGGCCTACGGTAACGCTCCTTTTTACAATGGGGACGTAACAGTCTTGTGCTAAAAGAACTGTTCAGAGCCACCACTGTGTTGTGCAGGGGATGGGTGGGGTTATGCATGATAGATGTTAGTTTTACCAGCATCCTTCTGTCTGCCACCTCCTCGATGGAATCCAGAGAGCAGCCCAGGACAGAACCAGCTCTCTTAACAGCTTGTTGAGTCTCTTTCTGTCCCTCAGCATGCTACCTCCTGCCCAACCCACAACAGCGTAAAAAACTGCAGATGCCACCACAGAATCATAAAATGTCCGAAGGAGTGCCCCGCGCACACCAAAGGACCTCAGTCTCCTCAACAAGTGGAGGCGGCTCTGGCCCTTCCTGTACAGGGCATCTGTGTTGTTGGTCCAATCCAGTTTATTGTTGAGGTGGGCACCCAGGTATTTAAAGGTGTCCACAATCTCAATATCTGAGCCCTGCAAGCTCACCGGCGTGAGTGCTGGTGATTTCTGCTGGGGGGTCAATCACCATCTCTTTTGTTTTGCTGGTGTTGAGGACCAGGTGATTTTTCTCACACCACTCCACAAAGTCAGTAACAACCCCCCTGTATTCCCCCTCGTCCCCCCCAGATACACATCCAACAATAGCAGTGTCATCTGAGAACTTTTGTAGATGACACTGGTGGGAGTTGTACTTGAAGTCCGACATGTAGAGGGTGAACAGAAAGGGGGAAAGCCCTGTCCCCTGGGGTGCCCCTGTGCTGCAGACTACCACATCCGACACACAGTCCCTAAAACTGTCCCCGATCAACCCTAAAACTATATAAAGCTTACTCATACTATGCTGCAAGGCAACAGCCCCTGCTTGCTTAGTTTATCAGAAAGGAGCAAAGAATGATATACAGTATGGCCAAATGTACTGTATGTGGACACCTCAGCATTCTAGTTCTATGTGATGAGTGAGCAGGGTTTCCACCAAACTTTGAATACCTGGGTACAAGAATTTGCTCCCATTCAGTCACAAGAGCATGAGTAAGTCCAACACTGACGCTGGGTGATAAGGTCTGACTCACAATCAGCATTCCACTTCATCCTAAATGTGTTGAATGGGCTGATGTCATAGCTCTGTGCAGGTCAGTCAAATTCATCTGCACCAAACTGGGAAAAACTTTATTTATTGAGCATTGTCATGTTGACAAAATCTAACACAAACTGCTGCCACATGGGGAGTATACAGTATACAGGTTTGCATATTATGAGCCAACCAAAGGTTGGACAACTAAGCTTGAGGTTAGACTCCTTCTCTCTACTCTGGACAAATGCAGAGATGATGACATGACAGCATTCAGAACTTTCACATTTAGTATTTGTGGGGTCCAGTGAAAGCTTCAAAACTCATTTCCTGTGGCACATACCATAACTCACCTTTTTTTCTGATAGGCATGGCTGACTGTGTAAACTTGACTCTTGTTAAAGTTTCCAGTCCAGTTTTTAGTGCATAGTCAAAAAGTTATTTCTTAGAGGATGACTTTCTCTGTGGAGTCTAGGGACCAACAGGGGGGCTCCGGAGGAAGTGTCCAGGGGATCTGTGCCCAGTAAAATGAGAAAAAGATTAGTTCCACTGACTAGATTGCAGCACAATAAAATGTGATCACTGGCATCTCTGTCCCAGATGACAGTACCAGCTGTGTCCCAAGTCACAAGAAACTGAGATGAGGTCCCCTGTACCAATGTATGATCAACTTTTATTTACTGTGTTGCACAGTAATTTAAGGGTCCTTGAAACGAGGATGCTTGGAAACCAACACGCTCTGCACTTGAGGTTGTGCATTACATGAGTCTGGGTCTGCTTCAAAAAACATCCATCGCCTGAGGGGCTGGCAGTCTACAGAAGTGCCCTGTCATGAGTGATTCACTGCTGCCTCTCACAGACAGGCGAGAGTTACTGTACACAGTGGGAGACAGATGGGTGGGCACCAAGCCTTAAAGTCCTCATAGTCATATAATCTGTGTGTAGAGACGCTGGTCTGGTGTCCTGTGGTGAGGAAGGGCTGTCAGGCCTGACAGTGAAACACTACTGGTATAGCTGGGCAGCGTTGGCCCCATCCTCCCCCTGAACAGCTTGTCCACATGTATCTGGCCTGGCAGTCTATACGTAAAGTTTTAACTGCCCACACACCAAAACACGGGGCACAGGGTGCACCATATGTAACACGCCAAGTTTTTTTTAAATGTTTCAAAAGAAACATCCGTTGTTCCGACTTGCTGTTTTTACAACGATTAAAGAAAATGCCAACTAATACGTCAGAAATTTCAGAGTTTACGTCTGGGGGTTTTGACTTATGTTGGGACGTGTGCGTAACCCCCATGAGGTGTCTACTGATAATTCAGGAAATTAAAAACGAACCTTTAACATCGTCTGGTAATCTTGCTCCTATGCACAAATTAAACGTGTCTGTTCTCCATTATTAGCTAGCATTCATGCTAAATCAATAGCCAGCGGTATTGCCAAATGAAGTGATGCTTTCCCAGTGCGACGCTGGGCTGCTGGAAAATACCTGCCTGCCAGTTGTGGGAGAAAAGGCATGCCTCTCAAAGGACTCCATGTAACGTGATGTTCATATTCCGTACAATGTTGACTGTACATTCGGGGGAAATGTCTCCTGATAAAAAAACAGCATTGTCCTCGAGCTGCCACATCTCTTTACATGTCTGCCAGGTCCTGCACCGTAGCGTTTGCCATAAGAGCCGATGGCATCACTGACAGGTTCAGACGCCACAAATTTACCCACCATGAAAAAATAAACTTCCGTTTATTGCTTTCAAAATAATAAAGAGTTGTTAACACAATTTGTTGCAAACCAAAGTTCTAAAGACATAGCTGTCTGTGACTTGACATTAATATGGTTAGTTCTGTGTATGGAAGAGGTAAAGTGTAAGTTATGTTACTGAAGTGACTGAATTACCAGTCCATGCAATGAACATACGATTTTTAAACAACATAAAAAACCTACCCACAACCCGTTGTTTATTGGTTATTGTACAACTTTTGAAACACAAGTGGAACCATATTGTACACAAAGTATTTTTATTTGTGACAAAGGTCAGTCTAAAATTTCAGAAAATGCTATAATGTAGCTCATTTGGAATATAATTTTAATAACAGCACAATGTTCCAGCATTCTAACTTCCACTTATCTGTTTGTGGAAAAACAAATTATACATAATAAAAAGTGCACTCCCGGATTTACCAGAAACGTTCTGAGAGGTTTCCTTACTAAACCCAATGCCTGGTGTAACAAACATTAGGCCTATATTGCTCACATCCACTACTTCAAAGTCACAATTTTATGATGTGAGAAATATGACCCATCCCTCACCAGCCATAACTATTCTATGTTCCTTTTATTCAGCGGTTATTTATCTCAGGACTCCGCGACACGTAGGCTATGACTTATCTAAGCATCCTAAAAGCGTGGCACACTTTATGTATTTATTTTGAAGGACGTTCTCCTGGTTTAAGGGCCAAATGTGGTGGACTTGACGGAGCTGTTTAACTTACCTTAGCAACGCAGAGTCCGGTCGCTGGTTAGCCAGCTTAAGTTTCGACTGACAGGATGTGAAAACCTATCATACAGTGGAATGTCTTGTCGCATCAGAGCGGATCAACCAATGAGAAAGCTTCAGACCTGTGCGAAGGTGAGAGCTGAAATATTGTTGCATTGTAGGAAATATGAAAATTATAGTTTATTCTGACTTCCATAACTGGCTATTGTAATAGAATTATCAAACCTAGTAGTAGTAGCAGCAGTAGTGGTGGTGATGGTTGTTGCTGTTGTTCTAGGCTATATAGTGAAACACGTTTCAGAAAGCATGCATATAAATATAACATCTTTTCTTTTATAAAGGTCATGTTTTTGTAACCCATGGGTAAAACCAAGACTATTAAGGGCAATTCAGTGGTCAGCAATTGTTGTCTTATTTTATTTTATAAATTAATCGATCGTGATTAGTTTCACTGCTGTCATCCCGGGGTTGTTTTACTTTGGAAGACTTTACTATGAAAGCTAAAACCGCCTTCCTGTTTTTTGCTCAAGCTAGGTGACCCTCCATTAGACTGAAGGGGCCTGAGCTGCTGGAAGTGATATTCCAGGCGAACTAACGTGAACAGAAGAAAAGCTAATAAAGATTGTACTAAAACCAGCAGACGGATTGGACACGTTGGATGTATGAGAACCTGAGACTGTGTTTTGTGTTTTGAAGTTGTTCGGTGAGTAAAGCTATGAGGAAATCCGTGAATTAGCTTAGCTTATACGCTACCGTGGTGTGTAATCACGTTGCTCAGTAAAACACTTGCACTGATCAGAATAGAGGTAAAAATGTTATTGTAATTGTCTTATGTGGTGTATTGTGAAGAAATTGTTAAGTGTTAATGGTCGTTTAACTGTATTTGTATTTTGTTTGACACTAAGTGAATGTAGTCAACTTTCCTTTATGACGGGATAGAACATTTTAACGCAACTATTAATCTAAACCCATGGGTTAATAAAGGAAGTTGTGTTACACCTTGAGTTGGTAAATAAAAAACTGTACAGTTAGTTAAGGGGGAACAGCTAGAAACACTTAAAAAAAAGAGTGTGAATAACTTTGTATACTTATATTACAAATCACCTGTTTTGTTATACAGGCTGGGGGTTTTTTCCCCCTTTTGGTCATTCCTTTCTTTGCCCTGGATCCTGGATGGTGAACGGACCTACTCGTGAACTGGAGTCTCTCCTTGATGGGGAGTGGCGAGCCACCAATTGAGTACCGGGATTGGAATCTCCCTGCAATCGTCACCTGCCTTATTGTGTATGCGGTAGGACTATACGGTTATTGCTCCAAGGGACGGGAGCTGGACATTTTATTTGGTTACTTTGTTCAGGGTGCACCCATGAAAAGGACTATTTCCTAAAACAAAAATTATATGCCAGCTTTATTCATCTTTCTCATTATTGTAAGTGTTGTTGTTGCTGCGTGTTAATACAGTTGCCTATTCCTGCAATCTGAGTGTTCCAGTTATTCATGAGTGTCTCTGTCATTATTCAGCCAACAGACTTAGAGTATTCTGGCCTTCAGTGTCTCCCACACAAGGGTTACATTTTCATATTTTATTGAGATTCCACTGTCTCAGTAACACTATGTTCCTTCAAGTCTGTGCATGACACTATGAAGTCTCAGCTCTATATGGTTGTGATTGCTGGTGAATGAAGGGCTTGGGAATACACACAGAGTGTCAATATTTCAGAGTCAACCTGTTTGAACCTAAATTGAGTATTTACAACTCTATGGAGAGTAAACCAGCTGTAACAGTAGAGTTAAAAGTGAGTGTAAAGTGAGTGAAAAATTGAACTCCACAGAGTGATATTTAGTGCAGGAACTTCGAGCGGCACATGGTATTTTCTCCAGTGTGGTGGAAATATGTAATGGAATAGTATGTAGCTCATATAGACCTTATTTGGTAGTAGCTTATGTAAGGGGTTATATAATTAATACTTAGAATCCTAGTTAAGGCCTAGTATGGTCAGAGATGAACCAAATCTAAATCTAATCTAACTTGAGTCAAAACAGTGAGGTTAAAATAGTATTTTGAAAAAATTTGTTGCCAGTTGCATGGTTTACATTTATGCATTCTTCAAGAAGGAGTCATGGCGTCTGAAATGATAAACACGTCTCCAGTCATAGTGATTGAGAATACAAATCCGTTGCTGGCGGAGGAAATTTATAAACTATCTCAAAAGTGGAACAGGAGAACGAGACACTTGTCAGTATTCTGGCCCCCAGAGGGAACATTTAATAAACATTTGTGTGCTGAGATGAAAAAGTTGATAATTAATTATAA